AGTGCATGGGATATTTGTTTTCTCTGCTCCTAATAAATAGCATTCCACTTACTTCTTCAGTTTTGCGAGAATTTTGCGACTATATTTTATCGTCTTATTGTTCAATGTTACACAAATGATATCAGGTTATGCTCTAAGTAATATCATGATGTCTTTTTGAACAATCTAACAACAATATAACCTAAATATTTTGTTTGCAGAACCCTTTGAGTACTCATGAGGACATATATATGTAGAACACCACGTTTGACTACAAGTTCAGGTATACTGAGTAGTTGCATGTCAATGAACTTTTTGTTTATACTTGTAGCTAAATTAATGAGCATTTGATCTTTTGTGCATGACTGAAGCTTTAATAGGCCAATAGACTAAAAATGGGTTTGTTAGAGGGGTTGCAGTTGGAGCCATATCAGGAGTGGTTTTTTCTATTGAGGTTTTTGAAGTTTATTTATGCCATCCATTACTTGATTAGAAATTTAGTTTTTCGCCCATTGATCATATGCACAATTTGTAGTTATATAAATTTGTTTACTATAAACTTCACAGAAAGGAGGAGAACCATTATATCACTTTGATCCTAAAATTCTTAGTTTGGTGATTCTATACCTGAAGTTTCGAATTGCCATTCACATATTGAATAATTCTAATTATGTTAAACCTTTTGAATGTAGATTAATGTGATTGTCAGCCTTTAAAGTGGGAGAATTGGTCGCAAGTTTGTTCTGCCATTTGGGTTTGACATTTGACATGTGCCAAATAAAAGACAAAATCTGAAATTCTATACATATGATATTTGTAGTGGATATTTGAGGATATGAAACTAAAAAATATGTGAAACTCTTCTTGCACTGTAAGTCCCAAACCTAATTTCTCTTGAACAAAAGATGAAAACTTTTTGAAAGTTATACAGTGAATTACAAATATTTTTAGATCAAATTCAGACAGTCACATACCCAAACACAATGGAAGCATTTCCATTGCGAAGTCTAAAACATGCGAGCATTAATTTCGGGCGAACATTAAAGTGACCTCTATTGTTACCGTAGTTTTTAAGGCTACGTTGAGTAGATATATGAAGGAATGCAATGGTGCTTTTCTGTAAGGCTAAGATTTCTTCCATTATTTAGATGCTCATTCTGTTTATTTGGTAGAGTTTTTGCATCATATTTCACCTGGCCTCACCTAATGTGATTCTCGTAAGATTCTCCACTAATATTTGAGACCTTAGATTTTGCTTATAGATGCCTGTAAAAACATACTAAATCAAGCAGACATTGGATTAGCCGGAGAATTTGGTGTTTGTTAGTAGCATAGATTCTCCAAGGATAATGATACGAATGTGAAATTTCATATCTTCTAGTTTATTTTATCTCAAATTTTTTCTCTTTATTTCTTTATTTCTCGACGATTAAGTTAAAACTTACAAATAACTTTCATTTTCCTATTTTTTATGTAAAAAATGATGACTTGCTTTTTGATTTCAAAAATATTATGCTATTGAATTTAGAGGATTTCTGATAATTTAAAGACTTTAACTTGCTTGGTGGGGATGTCATGGGACCTAAGCTTCAAATCAAACAGGGATATGAAACACTTAGAAACAGTTTTTTGAATGGATTTGAGATCTGCACCTTGTTATCTGGGCAAGAAATACCTCTCGAAATAACAACTTCTCGAAAAGTTTACTACATCTTATGGACACTTCTAGAAAGTATCAAAAATTTATCTATTGGTATCTTATTAGTATCAATTCAAATCTCACGTGGGTATGATTGCAGATGTTGATCTATTTTTTTGATACCATCGTAATTGGTCTTATAAGAAAAGACTGCCTATCATGTTTGTTTACCAATATCGTTAATATGTGATTTACTTGTGAATGGTTAGTTCAATAGATATACTTCTTTTGTGAATTAGGCATATGTTTTTGAATTTGTTGTCATAATGCTCCCTATTTGTGGATATTTTTCTGCTAATATCAGTTTGTACAGGTTTGGCATAATTTCTATTAATATGGCAGTTCCATTGACACCTTCCAAGAGATCCTATGATCGAACCTCTGCTGCATGAAATGGTAAAGGCAAGTGTAGAAATTAGGAGCGTTCAGCTCGAATCTATAATTGAAATTGTCACTAGGAAGCACTGTTTTTCCATGTGTACTTTGCTTTACTTCCAAGAGTGGTCATGTAATTGGAAAAAGTGGCAACATTTATCACATATATGTTAGGAAACTGGTACATAGGGAAAAGATCATTCTTCCAGTGACCATAATAATTTATTCACTAAAAAAGAGGATAGCTAAATTTATACATGTAGTCACATTTTTCCCTATTATGAATCTCTGTCTAGCTAATATATGGCGGTTTTTTTTTTTGGTGGAGTTGATTACTATGCCATACCTTACGTTACCACACGTAGTTACTTGCTTTGGCTTTCCTTTTGCAGGTTTTGAGTTACATTGTGGAACTCGCTAATCAATCATGTGGTGGTGTATATGGACAACTAATACTCACGAGCTGTTTTGGGTTGAGCTTAAGAAAGCTGCAGAGAATGTGGCTCAACATCACAAAGAACAGCCTATGATTTTCGTCCATAACGACAACACCTTTGATGGAAGTGGCATTAAGACACTATTATCTAACATGTTCGAATTAGCCAAGATAAGTAATGTGGCCTTTAATTCTTCTGTTGATAGTTACCTTGAGGGTGTCACTCTTAAGTAAATCACCAGCTACTTATGAGTGTTGGTTTTCTTCTCACATTATCATGTTTCTCAATTTTTCCTAAAATTGGGACTAATAAAAACTTTTATTTTAGGTTTGCTCAATATGATTATTACTGACTAACTATGGCTATCATTACCATGTATTTTCCAATTCAGGTACTACATGTTGCTTTCAAATATGCACTAAATAATGCAGTGGGAAAATGTCAAAGTAATATATGGGTGGCACTTTGCAATGGCCCCATCAACAAAGTTACCTCCATTAGGTATTTATTGCAATAAAATTTTTTGCACTTTGTACCCCGAAAGATGTCTCAATTCTCACTTTGCACCTTGAAAGATTATTTTCCTCCATTACCCTTTGAATGTTATAAATTGGTTTCAATGTGGCCCTCAGATTAGTATCCGTTTCAAATTCCGTTAAAAATTGATGCACATGTTATCTAAGGATATCAATGTTGAGTTTACACTTTTTTCCCATAGCAACACACGTGGGTGGCATGTACAAAGTGCGAAAATTCCTAGAATAAGATTGATTTTCTCTATACAAATCTAATTGGCATTTCATATAACAGTTATCAACAACCAGCAAGATTTTTTATTTTGTTCTTTACTTTTTTGGTCGAAACTTTTAAAACCTATGCCATTCTCTGGAATATTAATTGACCTTGAACAGGAACATTATATACAGAAGGAAATCATTGTCATATTGATACTCGCTGAAATACTTGCAATGTGATTTAACCGAACAATTAGCTATAACTCCCACTTTTCATTATACAATAAGTGGAAAGAATTCTAATTTAATTTTATATTTGTTTTCGGTCACTTTCTTTGATTTCTTATAACATTTGCATCATGTATCTATCTAAAGGGTTTATGCAAGGCTGTGCACCTATTTTAAATCTAGCAATGTACCACCACGTGAATATTTTTTGTACAAAAAATTAATAAAACATATTACATATATATGTATCTGAATTAAATATTATTTCAAATTTATCAAACTTAATTTTTTATTATTCATATTCTATTATAAGATTATGAAAATTTTGTATGTTCCCAAAAATACTTTGTTTTAACTATTAAAAAAAAGGTAAAGAAAATAGTTAAAGTTATATATTTTTTAGAATTTTTGTGATTGAGATTGATTTTTAATAATGTTTGAGAAATTAAATTTCTTGAAATTCATTTAATTAGGATTCCATATATAATTCCTTAAATAAAAAAAAGTAATTATCAGTATACTAATCACATTGGAACCTTACTGCAATTAGAAATTAGTTAGGTCAATTGGGATAATATTTAATATACTACTCTATAATATATATTATCAAGGATATTAAAATTCTAAAAAATTCAAGTTTTATATAAAAATATACTATAATATCTATTTTTTACAAAACTGAAGAATTATAATGATGTAACATAAATTGATTTAAAAAAAGTACATATACAATTATTTTTTATCTTATAAAGAAAATACACATATGTGGGCATAATATTATCTTTGCATATAAGATAATTAATATTATATTAATGGAGTTTTTGAAGGTTTTTTGAACACTTTATTGAAAATATAATGATGAATATTTTTTAAGGGTAATATAGTTAATCAAAAAATTTTATAGAAACTTATATTTATACATAGAGAATAGATAATTAAAAAAGATATTATAGATAATTTTGAGATTTAAATATATAAATATATGATATTAATTTAGATATTTAATTGTGGAATGATAGAGTGGTTTTTGTAATCATTTATATGGGTAAAATAGAGATTCAAAAATTTTTCACCTTAAAATACTTTTATTAGTAGTATAGATATAAATTTGTTAAACTTCTTTAGGAAAAAATTATATATGACTTGTACAATAGTATGATGTTAAAAATGACCATGCACTTCTTTTAAGGGATTTCTCAGACATAAATTGTTCTTAATATTTATATTTATATAATAATTATTATAAGGAAGAAATGAGTTGTTTCCATTAATTAATTTATTTTTCTTTTTAACATTTTCATCTACTTGAGTTTATATTGAGAAGAATTGTATGTTACATAATGTATAATTATCAATGGAGCCAATTTTCTGCTTGGATTCATCTCATGTTGGGAATTATTAATATTTTTGTTATTATAATTGTTTGGTCAGTACAACAAATTGATTTACTTGCGATACACGTGTGTGTCAATTAGTAAAAATAAAAAAAATCAAAAACAATGAATTTTTGATATTACTCTAACAATCAAATTAAGGTAAGATAGACCTTGAGAAATATTTCTTCCTTTTTTTTTTAACTAACCACTGCTATTTAAATTTCTTAAAAAATAATTTTAATTCCCATAAGATAAATGTCGGGGCAGTAAGAGAAATTTGGAGGCGGAGAAGAAATGTCATTCTCGGCCAACCCCTTATCTCTGAGCGTCCCCGAGCCCGCATTCGAGTCGTGGCTAAGAGACCATGGCTACCTCGAAATCCTCGACCAACGAACCTCTGACCTCCACCGCCTCTCCACCACCACCGCCACTTCCTCCTCCTCCTCTTCCTCCGCCACCACCACTAGTTCTGCTACCATAATCACTGGTGGATTCTTTATATCGCTTTTTTCATATATCGGAACCCTACTCTCTCTCTTCACTTTCAATCCCTTCTCCAAGCTCACCTCCGACGACTTCTCCGGCGATACTCCCTCCTGGACTTTTCGATTTATCGGTTCTTCTGATTCCTACTCGTTCCCTTTGTCGACCTCTCAAGCTCGGTTGAGAGTCCACGAAAATGTCAAGCGCTTTGCTCGCAATTATGCCTCTCTCTTCATCCTCTTCTTCGCTTGCTCTCTGTACATACTCTCTCTTTGTCTGTACACACATAACACACACAAACATAGTTCTTTGTCAAAATTTAGCATTGAAATTTAGAGGTAATTTATTTAGGTTAAATTCATGGAATTGCTTTTATTTTAGTTCTGGTTTACTGCTTTCTGAGCTAAAATTTTTGAATTTTGTGATTCTGAAAGAGAGAGTACTATGGATTATTTGCTTTATATTTATTTGGTTTGTTAATGGTGGTTTTAGGTATCAAATGCCTCTTGCTCTTGTTGGGCTGATATCATGTTTGGCGCTTTGGGATTTGTTCAGATTTTGGGGTGATCGATGGGGATTAGATCGATACCCTCTATTTCGACTAAGCTTGGTTCGAGTTGCTCAATGTGGTGAGTTTGTTCATCTTTAGTTACGTCATTTTCCTTGCTTTGATAACATTCATAGGTATTTTGGTGTCATAGAAAGAGAAACTCCCTTGGAGCACTCAGATATACACTAAAAGACAGCAATCTCTATATTAGTCTTGCCAATATTTATGCTGGTTGGAAATGCAATTGCTCTTACATTGTTACAAATTGTGATCCTAATGGTGAAGTGGATTGATTTTTGATCCGTACTCATGGGGTTAGTGCAAAAGCTTTTATTTAGATGCTGCTAGTTAGTCTCTTAGACTAGAGTAAGGAATTTAAATGGGGTTGCCATTTCTTTTGATATTTGAATCTCAAATATGATTTACTCAAGCAATGACTTGCTTTTTATTACCCTTCAAAGAGAGCCTAGCAATACCCTGCCACACCTATTAAAGTCCTTTTCGTCTCTGGTTTACCCAGGTGGGCAAACTGTCCCCTGGTCCATTGGTCCAATGTCAGTTTATCAAGAAAATATGATGTCTCAATGTATGTTTACCATAAATATGTCGTTCCTATTCAACAGTAATATATGGCTGAATGAACTATGGACTAGTGACATGCTCTCAAGTCTAAGAGAACAAGGATCCACATGTGGGTGGACAAGAGGTGGAAATTGATCTGAGTTTGGTCTGTGAAGGGCCACTTGAATGATGTTGGAAAACATCTCCTCCCATTTTCGTATGATGAAATATCATATTCCTTTAAAGAAATGATGAAATTTCCTCTTGATCATATTGAAGATTGACATAGATAAAGGATGCTTTTCAAAGGTACTTTACATAGCCTTGTGTTTGAGAGAGAAGGATCAGAATATACTTGCTTTGAGTGGTTCCGTTGTCATTATTGGTAGACCGAATGAGAGAAGGATTAGAATATACTTGCTTTGAGTGGTTCCGTTGTCATTCTTGGTAGACTGAATGAGAGAGAAATCCCACTGACAGATTGTTTGGAGAAATTCATTTTTCAATGCAAATTCAGTTTCACTACCATGACAAATTTTACTATTTCTTGGTTGGAGGTTCCTTTACTTCCATTGATCTTCTTCATGTTCAAGGGAATCATTTTATTGGGAGGTCTTATAATTCATGATTACCATGGTTGAGACAGAATGACAGATTGCAAATCCTTAAGTTAGGGTTAGGTATAGTTGAAGGTGGTTCCGCTAATTCCCTTAGTTGGATTTTTAATGCGGATGGTGGTCCCTGGTGTATCAATCATCTTTTTAGAGAGAGTGCCACACTAACTGTGAGTTACTTCTACAGAAATTCATGAGTTAAAAACAGTTGTTATTATACCGACACAGACAACTATGTTTGTCTTAACTTTTTTATTGCCTTCATGAATCTCATTCCCTGACCAGGTCGGACAAATGTGAATTCAACGAGTGGTAATTACTGTGTTTTGTACTTGCAGCAACTGCCGTTATCTTATTCTTCTCCAATGTTCAAATGACTCTCTCATGCGCTCTTGGGGTTAGTTATGCAGGTGACTTGGGTTTTTTTTTTTTTTTTTTTTTTTTTTTTTTTAACATAAGCAAAATTCTTATGGGTTTGTTCTCAATTTGGAATACATTTGCAGTTTTGATTTTGCATGCCTCTTTCCGGAAGCTGACTCCCACCAAGCGAGCTACTGAAGGAGGGAGGTCAAAATAGAAGGATCAACAGAAAGATATGGTGATTTTCGGTGGAAGGCCGTTTCTAGGTGTCGTAGCTTGGGCTAAACAGTTTGCTGTATAGTATACCATGTTGCTGATCTTGAAGATATGAACAGAAGAATTCCAATTAGTTATAAGTGTGCTTCGAATTGTTGTTGTTTTCCAATTTCACGTGCTTATGTGAAATGAGAGATGTAGCGACTAGTTTTGCTTTTTGTTATGCTTCTCAAAACTTGCAAGCCTGGTAGGGTTCAGTTGGGTGAATTTTTGGCAGTGGCTAATCATCTTTCAGCAAATAATTTCTTCCAGGAAAAAAACTAAAAATTTTCAAGCTTGGATGATACTCTTTTTCGAGTTTGGGAGACATAAATTTTTGGTTTTGTTCAGTGGAATGGTATGAATGTATAGGCCAGCAGAATAAAATACTGCAGGTTATGGCTGAATCTGGATCACCATCAGGTTAGTCAATTTCTGGCTATGATTTGCCATTCTACCAGCATAAGCTCAGATTACACATTTAGCTTGTCATCACAGACAGGAAATCTTGATCTTCAATAAGGGTTCAAAGCTCAAGATTGTTTAGATATTGGTTCCCTTAACATATGTTTATTGGCTAAGGCAACAATAGGATGCTTGCCTCTCTGCTGTGTTCTGGCTTCTAATCCATAAGAATTTAGGGCTATAGGCTGCATTTCCATAAATTTTTACATCATTCTTTAAAAGGATTGCGCAAGGCCCAGACTCGAAAAATTTGTTCACCATTCGTAGTTTCAAAGTCTGGAAATATCAAAATATCGAAAGGCTAACTTGGACACGACACGACAAAATCCAAAGATCCACCTTTGTCGTGCTGCCAACTACTGGACAAGTTTTGGAGCACCAAAGAGAAGTTGGGGCAAGAGATGATAGGGAAAGAGGAAAGAAGGATTGGCATACTTTCTCAAGATGTTACCAACATGAGACACTCCAAAAGTTCCAAGCACAACGATAATTAATTCATTAATACATATAGTTATTTAATGACACTGACAAAGCAATACTAGCAACTAGTTCTACATCAACACAGAAAATGTAAAGTCGACAAGTTTTCTTGAAACGAAATGCGCATTTAATCAAAATCAATGGATAAACAGAAAACACAATAAAAATCATAAAAGTAGACACGATCAGACCTCTATTTACGCTGGGTTTAGATCTCGAGAAACTAGGCCTTGCCATCTGCATTGAAAAAGAGGTACTTCAGGCATATGCATCTCTAACACTGTCAAATAACGTAGGGATTTGGAACTGAGCCTAAACATGGCAAAGATAAACCCATATGATACTGTTTCGAATCCACTGCAGGCCCTAGTCATACAACTCTTCAATGCCAATGGACGTACGAATCAAACTATATTATGTGATCGCATTTCTTTTATAAGATGTTTATTGACATCGTTTTCTTGGTTTTTTTTTAATTTTTGAAGGGGGTAGTGGGGAGGGGGTTGGAGTAGTACTGTAAAATTATTTTTCTGCATCTTAAGCAATTATTACATTGGTGTATCTTAGGTTGGACCAATTATAGTTGAATGATATTCCATTTGCCAGCCATGGCCTCTCGAACTAATGCGTTCATGAACCCATGGCTACTCATAGGCAAAGTAATCTCCTTTCATATCTATGTTAAATCCAGTTCAACAAAAGTTCTATGTTAGCCAGACAAAGAGAACGATCATTTCGACAAACCTTGAAAGTAAAAACCTTGCAAGTGGGCCCAAATTGGCATTTGAGTGAAGCTCTTTATTTTGTTGCTTTAGATTGCTATCAACTTCTGCATTTATATTCTCTGTTTGATGCTCTGAAGCTGTCTTGCCTTTTGTGAAGATCGAGCTGCCATCTCCTGCAGATCTTTCAGTGAAGACTCCTTTGAACTGCACATTTTTCCTCCACTTGAGAAACATGTAGCATGAAAACATAAAAGACCATCTTCAAGTAGTATGTCATAAAATGAAAATAAGAATAGGAAATGATCATCAACCTTGCTAGTCGCTGAAGCAACCTGGTGACAATAATTTCACTAACCCCAGGCTTCATGCACTCCAAATCCATAAATGAATTTGCCACTGCATGCACAATTGACCCTTCTGAATCATCAGTGATGGCCTACATTAAATACATCAACAAATCAAGAAAACTAAGATAATGCATCTGAACCAAAGTCATATCATTTGAAATTTACCACAATGCCCAAGTAGGAGACTACCATTAACATCAACTTAAAAAAGAAGACTTCCATCCAACTGATTTGGAAAGTGGTATTTAGTCAAACAACTTAAGAGCCTAATCCAACAAAATGAAAGTGTCCATCATAATCATCTAAGACTCCTAAAATTTCAGAATTGGAGTGAATCTTTCAGATATCATTCCTTCTTCCCATAGAACCTGATGATGCACAAATCGGCTTTGCATAATTGTATCTCTTGATATACTCGACTGTTGATCTTGTGCAACACTGATTTTTGCATCATCAGAACCCATTCTACTTTCACGTATCAATACCTACTCAGGGGTAATGTGTGATCTCATTCTTTGGCACTCGTTGATTTAATTTTTTGAGATAAAACCCAAATGAGAGCATTTGGACAAGTCATTATCAGGATTAGTAATTTTTTTTTTTATTGTGAATCTTTTATCACTCTGATTTTAGAGTCATAAGATTCTCAATCAAATTGGATGTCTGTATTTGAACCAAACTTTAAATGTGTAGTTACAGATGATCAGCTTTATGTACACTCTCAGTCATGCAAGGTTACCTCAACATAGGAATTGTAATTGCTAATTGCTCACCTCTTTTAATGAAGGAATGAGCAGAATGGATAATGGGCCAGATGATGATGCTGCGGAAATTCTGGCACTGTCTTCTTCATCTCTTGCTTGGCGTGATCTTGGAAATTCTTTTTGCTCAACAAAGTAATCACGAGAGGGCCTGGAAAATTTAGTTCATTTTTTGGGTAAGAATGGAGGAATTTCCAGTTGAAACTGGTAAGATCACCTTGACTATCATTTCTGGAGTAAAAACCTAGAAGCAAGTTTGATGAAGACAGAAGGGCCCCAAAATCTATCAGCAAGGCAAACGTAACATGTACCTTGAAGAATCAGAACTATTTGTTGATTGCTCTGATTTTTGATGTTCTTGCGTATCATTATTGACCTTGCCCAGTACAGACCTTTCTCTGACATTTCCTTTCCTTAATCCTCCTTGAATGGCAGCCTTTGCCTAGATATTGTAACAGCAAATAAGCCTTTTAACACAAACCAGCAGTAAGGTGACACATGACATATAAAGGACTTCTTTTCCGCTCTGAATAATTTAAGTCTTTATTGAAACAGTAAGTAATGCATTCTTAATACATACAGTGGTCTTTATGCATGCAGAAAAGAAAATCCCAAGATTTTTGCCACAGGCCTAGTCGGCTATTTCATATTCGGAACAGTTATGAAAAAGTTTATGAAATATAAACAACCTCAGCAAAGGTTATTGCACTGTCTTCAAGTGATGCACTTGAAGTTCTCTCTTGGATGCCCAGTCTGGACTTTGGCGTTCGAGGAGAATCTGAGTCATCATGTTGTCCACGGTAAACAACAGTACCACTGGAGGAAGCATCCTCAAAAGAAGCATATGTGCTACTAGACTGAATGGCAGGTCGAAACATTATCAAGAAAACACCAAGCACAGCACAAGGAGACAAAGTTGATCTACAGATCTACTTATTATTTTAATCCATCTCAACCAGAACGTAACCCTACCAATGTACTTTGATCACTGAATAGAAAGGATGGCTGAACTCTTGGAGATCGTACAACAACGGTGCCCGTCCCGCTCATTGAGAGTTCTTCCTGCAATTCAAGCACTTGAGACTAGCTTAGCGGGAAATCAGATGCTTGAAACAGAGGTTAACTAAGTTCATTGAAGTTCGTGCTAAGGCATTCTATCAGACATTATATTAGCTCAGTCAAATTGCAAAATCTGTTCTAGAGAATTCAGAACATGAAATTGTGAACCTAGTCACCACCAGTAGGGTAAATAGAAGAATGTGATAGCTTTTGTTTATTTCCATCATAGGAGTACATGATATCAAGTAATTTTTTGCAACAAGTCAATGGGTTATACTAAATTCAGGCAATGCCAAAGACAAGTTTTACAAAACAGCTTGACCCAATCATGATCACAAGATATTGATTGCACAAGGCAACCGTCATGCTACTTTATTTTTTTTTCTCTCTTTTTACCATGGTGGGGAATCAGGTAAGAAGTACATCAGCTTATTCTAACAGGCCTGGCACTTTTTTTTTTCCCAGTATCTAGATGGGCAATAAAGATTCCACCTGGAGGCTCAAAACTACATTTTCTTAGACAAGGAAGGAGAAGCTGAAGTTTATAACAGTCTCTCTAATATTTGGCCTTTAAGAATTCAGTTCCCAAGTGCAACAGGAGGTTGTGTCCAAGATATGTGTGGTGACACAAGTGAGCAATACACAGACACACATGGACAGAGAGAGTCTTACATCTTCATGGTAGTAATCTTGTTTTTCGACATTGTATGGCTCTCTATCATTTTTTCCCAAAGAAATTTCTGATGAATCATAAGGCGTGCTTCCAGAAGACAACCACAGGTTACCACTGTCTATATTTTTTCTTGAGGTGGCTTGACTTAATAGAACCTCTGGCTTCCTTTCTTTAATCTGGGGTGATCTTACCACACTCAGGGCTGTTCCAGTACTAGTTGCTCCACCAATACTGAAGTCCCACTCAGCATTTTGCAGGGTTTTTTCCTGACTACTGTAATAAGAATTAGTCAACTAACATTCATCAACACATCATAGGTAATTAGGAAGATCAACAGAAAAAACCCACCTTGTTCGAACAAAATCTTCAACTCTTGAATCTGTTGTTACTTTCACAGTGCCAGATGCCTCCCCTAAAGCTCTCTGACCATTTCTAGGGGTCTCTGCATCGTCTTTTAATTGGAACTTGGGGCGCTCTCTGTCCAGATAACAATAGAAAAGAGGCTATCACTTGGAAAATTACCAAATAATGCCACTCCATATATATCTGCTCATGACATGGAAATCAAGTAGTACCTTTAACATATCTTAGCATTCTCTCCAACAATATTGCCGTAGGCTCACCACTTAACACAATGTATATACCACGTAAAACATTAACCATACCCAAGTCACCTTTATTTTTATAACCTTTTTGCTAAATCATGTCTATTTATTTATGACTAAGATGTTAACTCTACAAAAAGTGACTAAGATTCCTGAAGTAATCATTATTGGCTATAAGGCTAGGGGATATGGGAAATATGATTCAAGTAGTTGGGACAAGACCTTGTTGAGTCGGGTTGAACTTTAA